CATCATAGCCCTTACAGCATAGTGCAGTCATTATGTTGCTTGGAATCAGGGCTGGCCTTAGGCCTTTATGTGCCCAGTGCGAAAAATCTTTACAGTACCCCCTGGCCACATCCCTCTCTGGCCATTGTGTTTGTAGTGTCAGTGTATGTGATTTCAGAGTAATACATCTAAGTAGCACAATTGTGTGTGCATGTTTAAATGTAGGTGTAAAAGTTCTCTCTGAATGTAAAGGTGGGGGTGTAAGGTTTCTCCACTCACATCATTGCTTCTTCAAACCTCTAACGACCCCCACCCCCCCGCTTCACTCTCTTTCCCATCATTTGATATTCATTTAATTTGCCTATTCAAACCCTTCTCTGCTAACATCTACCGCCCCCCTGGTTCCTCTTGACCACTTTGCTGCATGGCTACCCTATTTCCTCTCTTATAATATTCCATCCCTAATTCTCGTTGACTTCAATATTCCCATTAACCCACCTTTGACCTCAGAAGCCTCCAAACTACTTCAATTACTTCCTCCCTCAGGCTATCGCAGTGGGCTAATTCTCCCACCCATGTGGCTGGCAATACTCTTGACCTCATCTTCTCTTATGCATGTACAGTATCTAATCTCTGAAACACTCCATTTCCTCTCTCTGATCACCACCTCTTAGCATTTGCTCTCAAGTACCCCCTCACCCAACAACCTCAGCCTAACCCCCCTCAACTCAGGAGGAACCTTAATCCTATTGACCTCCAGCAGTTGCCAGCTGTTATTGATTCACAACTACTATCCATCCCTTCCCTATCCTGTCCCTCACTGTCCATCTCCACATATAACACTATCCTCTCCTCTGCCTTGAACACTGCAGCCCCGCTCCAAACAAGCACCACAAGGAGGACACACCCCCAACTGTGGCATAATAAATCAACACGCTACCTGCAAAGATGCTCCCATTCTGCTGAATGCTCCTGAAGGAAGTCTTGCACCCAGTCAGACTTTCTCCATTATAGATTCATATAGTGTTCATACAGCACAGCCTCTGCCCTCGCCAAAAAGTCATACTTTTCCTCTCTCATTAGTTCATGCTCCCGCAATCCCAGGCATCTCTTTGACACCTTTAATTCTCTTCTTCGCCCTGCTGTGGCCACCCCTCAAACTAACTTTACTGCCGATATGTTTGCATGTTACTTTACTGACAAAATTGACCAGCTAACGGGGAATTCTCCCCTCCTTGCCATTCTCTTTCTCAACCACAAGCAGATCATGCCTTTCCTACCCTTCAGACTTTCTCCCTGGCTACTGAACAAGAGCTGGCTGCACTTCTCCTTTCCTCTCACCCCACCACTTGCCCGCTCAATCCTGTCCCATCTTACCTTATCAGATCCCTCTTCACTTGTCTTGTGCCTTCCTTAATGCACATCTTCAACTGCTCTCTCTCTTCTGGCATTTTCCCTGCTGACCTTAAACATGCCACTGTAGAACCTATCCTGAAAAAAGCATCTCTTGACCCGTCCTCCCCCTCTAACTATCGTCCTATATCCCTGCTCCCTTTTTCCTCAAAGATTCTGCAAAGACTTGTCTCACTTCCGTATGTCTCACTTCCTCAATTCCGTATGTCTCACTTCCTCAATTCCAACTCTCTCCTTCACCCTCTTCAATCTGGCTTCCACCCTCTCCACTCTACTGAGACTGCTCTTATCAAAGTATCTAACAACCTAATTGCAGCTAAATCCAAAGGCCACTATTCCATATTAATTCTTCTTGACCTCTCTGCTGCCTTTGACAATGTTGATCATGCTCTCCTTCTTCAAACTCTTCAGTCACTCGGTCTCTGTGACTCTGTCCTCTCATGGTTTTCCTCTTATCTCTCCCAACGCTCATTCAGTGTCTCCTTTTCTAATGATACCTCCTCCCCTTGTCCTTTCTCAGTTGGAGTCCCCCAAGGCTCTGTCCTTGATCCCTTTCTGTTTTCTCTTTATACTGCCTCTCTTGGCAAACTTATTACCTCTTTTGGATTCCATTACCACCTGTACGCTGATGACACCCAGATATATCTCTCCTCCCCGGACCTCTCTCTTGCTGTTCTGCAATGTGTCACTGCTTGCCTTTCTTCCATCTCTGACTGGATGTCTTCCCGCTTTCTGAAGCTCAATCTTTCTAAAACTGAGCTCCTTGTATTTCCTCCTCCTAATACTGTTCATCCTCTTTCGCTCTCCCTTCAAGTTAGTGGTATCCACATAAACCCATCATTGAAAGTGCTCTGTCTTGGCTTCATACTTGATTCTGGCCTCACCTTTGAGTCTCACATCCAGTATGTTGCCAAATCTTGTAGACTCCATGTTTAAAACATAGCCCACATCCGCCACTTTCTTACACAAGATGCTACCAAGGACCTTGTGCATGCTCTAGTAATCTCCCGCATGGATTACTGTAACCCTCTCCTCATTGGTCTTCCCAAAAGCCGTATTGCACCACTACAGTCTGTAATGAATGCCGCCGCCAGACTGATTTTCCTCTCTAGTCAGTTCTCTCACACCTCACCCTTCTGTCAGTCCTTACATTGGCTTCTTGTATCCTATAGGAGTAAATTCAAGGTACTAATTCACACCTATAAAGCACTGAACAATTCTAGCCCCTCTTATATCTCCTCACAAATCCATAGATATGTCCCTTCTCTGTCTCTCCGCTCTGCCTGTGACCTACTCCTGTCCGCTGTTCGCACCCGTACGGCCAACTCATGCTTGCAGGACTTCTCGCGGACGGCTCCCTTTCTATGGAATGGCCTGCCGACCACAATTACACTCTCTCCTAGTCTTCAATCATTTAACCCATCTCTTTAGGAAAGCTTATGATCTCCCAGAGTAACGTCTACCTCACATACCTGCCTCTTGCTCTATCCTAAAGGGCAGCAGTCTACTCTCTCCTCCAGCTCTGCTTCACTCCCACCTTATTTAATCGCTATTTCATGTCCTATTGTGTTTTACACCCCACCTCCTATAGAATGTAAGCTAGTTTGAGCAGGGTCCTCTTCAACCTATCGTTTCTGTAAATTTTCTTGTAATTGTCCAATTTACAGTTAGATTCCCTCTCTCATAATATTGTAAAGTGCTACGGAATCTGTTGGTGCTATATAAATGGCAATAATAATAATAACTAGAAAAGTTACAATTTCAGGGGAAATTGTGTGAAGTGTTCTTGCCTCCACCTGTAGTCTACAACTGGAGTGGGCGGAGTAACTGTTATCATTTACATAGCACATTTAATTGCAACGTTGTTGCACAGTTACATTAAACCATACATTTATAAAAACATTAGCAGGTGTTCAAAAGGCCCTGTCTATGACATCACTTGCTGCTGCAGCTTGACACAGGTCAGAGTATTTTGGCGGTTGCCATCTTCTAACGGTCGTATCTTAAAAACTATAACTCCTACAGTGAAGAGCTTTATATTGTGAGAGTCACAAGACCCAGACCTACATTTTGATGCATAGTATGTCTCTGAAGTATTAAAATTGAAGGCACAGTCGCAGTTTAGAAATTGCACTTCAAATTTGAGCTTTGCAGAGTGAAGTTTCAATGAATGTCAATGGACGGCGTGAGTTGCAAACAAATGGTCATATTGTGAAAACTATCAGGACTATGGCTTAGCCGTTGACATGTTTACATTAAACCATACATTTATAAGTTAGGGTGGCAAATTTTGCTATAATAATAATAATAATAATAATATATATGTGAGATAACATTAAGTGGTCTTGCTATGCAAGAACACTTAATAATAATAATATATATGTGAGATAACATTAAGTGGTCTTGCTATGCAAGAACACTAATAATATATATGTGAGATAACATTAAGTGGTCTTGCTATGCAAGAACACTTAATAATAATAATAATAATAATAATAATAATAATAATATATATGTGAGATAACATTAAGTGATCTTGCTATGCAAGAACACTTAATAAGTGTTCTTGCAAGAACACTTAATACAGGGAGTGCAGAACTATTAGGCAAGTTGTATTTTTGAGGATTAATTTTATTATTGAACAACAACCATGTTCTCAATGAACCCAAAAAACTCATTAATATCAAAGCTGAATATTTTTGGAAGTAGTTTTTAGTTTGTTTTTAGTTATAGCTATGTTAGGGGGATATCTGTGTGTGCAGGTGACTATTACTGTGCATAATTATTAGGCAACTTAACAAAAAACAAATATATACCCATTTCAATTATTTATTATTACCAGTGAAACCAATATAACATCTCAACATTCACAAATATACATTTCTGACATTCAAAAACAAAACAAAAACAAATCAGTGACCAATATAGCCACCTTTCTTTGCAAGGACACTCAAAAGCCTGCCATCCATGGATTCTGTCAGTGTTTTGATCTGTTCACCATCAACATTGCGTGCAGCAGCAACCACAGCCTCCCAGACACTGTTCAGAGAGGTGTACTGTTTTCCCTCCTTGTAAATCTCACATTTGATGATGGACCACAGGTTCTCAATGGGGTTCAGATCAGGTGAACAAGGAGGCCATGTCATTAGATTTTCTTCTTTTATACCCTTTCTTGCCAGCCACGCTGTGGAGTACTTGGACGCGTGTGATGGAGCATTGTCCTGCATGAAAATCATGTTTTTCTTGAAGGATGCAGACTTCTTCCTGTACCACTGCTTGAAGAAGGTGTCTTCCAGGAACTGGCAGTAGGACTGGGAGTTGAGCTTGACTCCATCCTCAACCCGAAAAGGCCCCACAAGCTCATCTTTGATGATACCAGCCCAAACCAGTACTCCACCTCCACCTTGCTGGCGTCTGAGTCGGACTGGAGCTCTCTGCCCTTTACCAATCCAGCCACGGGCCCATCCATCTGGCCCATCAAGACTCACTCTCATTTCATCAGTCCATAAAACCTTAGAAAAATCAGTCTTGAGATATTTCTTGGCCCAGTCTTGACGTTTCAGCTTGTGTGTCTTGTTCAGTGGTGGTCGTCTTTCAGCCTTTCTTACCTTGGCCATGTCTCTGAGTATTGCACACCTTGTGCTTTTGGGCACTCCAGTGATGTTGCAGCTCTGAAATATGGCCAAAATGGTGGCAAGTGGCATCGTGGCAGCTGCACGCTTGACTTTTCTCAGTTCATGGGCAGTTATTTTGCGCCTTGGTTTTTCCACACGCTTCTTGCGACCCTGTTGACTATTTTGAATGAAACGCTTGATTGTTCGATGATCACGCTTCAGAAGCTTTGCAATTTTAAGAGTGCTGCATCCCTCTGCAAGATATCTCACTATTTTTGACTTTTCTGAGCCTGTCAAGTCCTTCTTTTGACCCATTTTGCCAAAGGAAAGGAAGTTGCCTAATAATTATGCACACCTGATATAGGGTGTTGATGTCATTAGACCACACCCCTTCTCATTACAGAGATGCACATCACCTAATATGCTTAATTGGTAGTAGGCTTTCGAGCCTATACAGCTTGGAGTAAGACAACATGCATAAAGAGGATGATGTGGTCAAAATACTAATTTGCCTAATAATTCTGCACTCCCTGTAAACTAGAAAAGCTACAATTTCTGGGGAAATTGTGTGAAGTGTTCTTGCCTCCACCAGTAGTCTACAACTAGAGTGGGCGGAGTAACTGTTATCATTTATATAGCACATTTAATTGCAACGTTGTTGCACAGTTACATTAAACTATACATTTATAAAAACATTAGCAGGTGTTCAAAAGGCCCTGTCAATGACATCACTTGCTGCTGCAGCCTGGCACAGGTCAGAGTATTTTGGCGGTTGCCATCTTTAAAAACTATAAATCCTACAGCGAAGAGCTTTATATTGTGAGAATCACAAGACCCAGACCTACATTCTGATGCATAGTATGTCTCTGAAGTATTAAAAATGAAGGCACAGTCGCAGTTTAGAAATTGCACTTCAAATTTGAGCTTTGTAGAGTGAAGTTTCAATGAATGTCAATGGACGGCGTTAGTTGCAAACAAATGATTATATTGTGAAAACTATCAGGACTATGGCTTAGCCGTTGACATGTTTAGTGGCAGCAGGGATAGCTGAACGTTTTGATATAAGATTTGTGTAGGTGGGCCTGAAAATAAGGGAGTGGTGGCAGTTTAGAAATCATGTCCTGATTTTTCAGCTTTTGCCAGCTCCCACTCTAGCTTTGCCATTCATTCCTATGGGACAAATTTCGCCACAAGAACGACGATATTCCGTGAACCATTCGGCGAAACGTTCCACAAAGTAATAGCAATCCGATCGGGAACAATCTGCACGCTTTGGTAAATTTTGGTCTATGTAGTGTAAAAACTGTGGGAGGAGTTAGGGTGGCAAATTTGGCTATAATAAGAATAAGAATAAGAATAAGAATAAGAATATATATGTGAGATAACAATAAGTGTTCTTGCAAGAACACTTAATAACTAGAAAAGCTACAATTTCTGGGGAAATTGTGTGAAGTGTTCTTGCCTCCACCAGTAGTCTACAACTGGAGTGGGCGGAGTAACTGTTATCATTTATATAGCACATTTAATTGCAACGTTGTTGCACAGTTACATTAAACCATACATTTATAAAAACATTAGCAGGTGTTCAAAAGGCCCTGTCTACAGGTCAGAGTATTTTGGTGGTTGCCATCTTCAAACGGTCATATTTTAAAAACGATATTCCGTGAACCATTCGGCGAAACGTTCCACAAAGTAATAGCAATCCGATCGGGAACAATCTGCACGTTTTGGTAAATTTTGGTCTATGTAGTGTAAAAACTGTGGGAGGAGTTATGGTGGCAAATTTGGTTATAATAAGAATAATATATATGTGAGATAACAATAAGTGTTCTTGCAAGAACACTTAATAATAATATATATGTGAGATAACAATAAGTGTTCTTGCAAGAACACTTAATAATATATATGTGAGATAACAATAAGTGGTCTTGCTATGCAAGAACACTTAATAATATTAATGTGGATGAAATTGTGTATGTTTATAGCTAATGTTTGGGTGTTGTGTGCGTGTAAATCCAGAGACTGATAAAGTGCATACGTTTTATTTTTTTAACTAAAATACAAAACTGTGATAAAAAGGTACATTTTATTTTTTGACCTTTTTCTCACAGTTTTGTATCTCCTCATATTCTCCCATATTTTTCTCCCTTATCTTTGCCCATTTGTCTTTCCTCCATTACTCCCCAATGTGGTTCTTCCCATCTAGTTTATTTGTTTATTATTCTTATCATATTCCCACTTGTCTATTTCCATCCATCTCTCTCCTATTTGTCTATTATCCATCCTTCCTTCACTGATGTCTCTCATCCATCCTTTGCTATAACTGTCACTCATGCTCTGCACACACACATCTTTTTTGCGTCTCTGCCCCCACCAAATTCTAGCTTATCCTGTACCCATTTGTCTCTCCTCAACACTTTCCAAACTGTGTCTCCCCTACTTCTAGCTCAGCTGTCTGTTTTTTAGCCACCCATTTTTACTTTCAATCCCCATCTTTCTTCTCACCTGTCCCATCCGTCTCAATTTCCAACAACTGTTGTTTCTCCAATTCTCCCTGTTTCTTCCTTAAGTTTTACCTCTATTGTATCCCCTGTACTTCCCCCATTTCTAACCTCTCTTGTCTCTCCATTATCCCCCCCGACACTTCCTCATTTATGACCTCTATTTTATCACGATTATTCCCCTGTCCCTCCTCCATTTCTAACCTATTTTGCCTCTCCATGATTCCCCATGTCTCTCCCTCATTTCATCATCAAGGTCCTGCTGTGTAACTGTTTCACAATCTCTATTTCCCTCACAGTGTGCTTTCCTCTCACCCAGAGTGTGACCCATATTATTTACTTACTATTTTGTACAATTTGTGCTGGACAGGAGGTATTGCTATTGATCTTCCTGTGCACTCCCTCGCAGAGCTCTTCAGTGGCAGCCATTCTCTGTGTGGGAATAGGGAGACAGAACATAACTCCGCCTCCCATGACACACACTGCTCCTGCACTGGAAACCTCCTGCACAGGAGTGGGCAGCCAGAACTCAATACATCAGGTTTTTCTCCCTCTGTGCACTCACTGTCTCAGACAGAAAGACACTGCAGGGAGTTCTCAATTAGTCCTGCATTTCCGAGGTGATAGGAGCCTCCTCACACTCCCCATACCCTAAAACATCCTGTGTCAGTGTAACTTCCCAGCTGTATGGGCCCCATGGCGCCCCCTGTTGCAATGGCACCCTGTGCGCCCGTACAGCTCGCACACCCGTAAGGCCAGCCCTGCCTGGAATGTTCTTTTAATCCACACAAATAGAAAAAATGAGGACAGCGTAAACAATTGCAAATGTGCACACCAAGTGCTACAAAAAGATTAATTTTCAAGGACATATGGTACAAACGTTTCAGGTATCCCCTTTATCAATGCATGTCCTTTAAACATAGATTAATTAATAGCGTTACAATAACAGTAATTATAATGTTAAGATCTGCAAACATCTTGTGCTTAACTAAAGACATAAAAAACAAAAAGCTGCATTTTGAAAACTTTTCTATTCTAAACTATAAATAGCATCCAAGCTCTTAATATGTCCCCAGCTGCTGTGATCATAGCTTGGTTTGTGACAATGAAAACGATGTTCAAGATAAAAAGATTTGTTTTTATAGTTTCATACAGAAGCATTTATGTTTAACAGTATAATACATTTGCATTTTTATATTTATGTATTTAGTTACAATTCATTTGGAGTGCTGATTGCATTATGAGAATCTTTCATAATAATAATAAAAAAAGAACAACTCATTTTGCCCAGAGTTATGTGCTTCCTATACGAGCTGAATAATAATTTCTAATTTGCTGGAGAAAGATATTCACAGGGGGTACAAACACCATCTTCTGAGACTCACTATTTCATGATTGGATTCACTATCTCACAATCTTAGATCTACTAATTACACTGCGTGCATCTCTACTTTAATGATTCCTATTTCGATGCCTGGCTTTTCTGATTGTATTTTATCTATATGTTTAAACTGCTGCAGATACCAGTTACCTCAATTATCAACAGAACTTAAAATTTCCATTAGCCCACTACCCACTCAGAAGTGGAGATTTGTGCCTCATGAGTGGAAATTCAGTCCTGAGAAATGTTTTAAGAATCCCCATTGCCATCAATGCTGTATGAAAGTAGTAGATTAGGGCAACAGTGTCCACACACCTAATATCTGGTGCCTGGATATCGGGCAGAAACATTTTTCAGAAAATATAAGCAGCTCCAGACCTTTAATCCTTACATTTCCTGTTTTCTCTTCCGTCACCCACCTAACACCGTGACATTGGCTAATGGGAAATACTATTTTATTCTTGCTCCTGGGAGTGCACCAAATCTTGATTGATTACCCATCCACTCGATGAGAGTTAAACAATACAATGAAGCCTCCAAATAGTTAATGTGTCCAGCTTTACTCTTGGTTTTAACCTTTGTATGTTAGTTTTGGGATGTGCCAAGGCACTCCTGGTGCCATAATCATGTTTGGAGTGTTCCCTTAATGAGCAAGACTAATATATAACATTACCCCATATGAATGCAACCCTTGCCATGTATACAGAAAAGAAACCCAGAAAACCAGATTTGTATGCTAATATTATCACTTCCCTACTCCTACTCCCTCTGTAGAGATTGACTAATTGTTTTTTTCCCTTCTCCTTTTTCCCACGTTGGGAGCCAAAGAGTAGGTACCACAAAAGTGGCAACACCAATCTTTGTAAGTCATTTTCATTTGTTTTGCAAACAAATTTTATTGAGGCTGTGAATGACATGTTTACAATCATGTGCAGTTCCAAAATGTTCAGTGTGGGAAAAGAGCTGGACTGGGAGACATGGGCTGGAGGGTTAGTTCATAGAGTTACAGTCTTTTTAGAGAAGGAGGAAGCCTGGGGAGACATGTATCCAGCATAGGTTACCAGAGGGTCCATCACAGAGACAACATTTAAAACACTGAATATACATAAAATGGCACAATATTAAGTATAGAGCAGTATGTGACAACATTAAAAGCACTGAATATACATATAACACAATATTATGTGAGGTGTGTTAAAGGGAAACTATAGTGCTAGTTAGACAAAGTTGTATTCCTAGCACTATAGTACCATGTGCCCCCTCCTCCACCCTTGTGGCCAGATCCCCTCAGCGCTTAAAGGGTTAAAAACCCTTTTGTCACTTACCTGATTGCATCGCCTAAGCCCCTCGGCGCAGGATCAGGCTCCTCCTC